CTGTGTTTGTTGACAAATTTTAATTATTTTATGACACAGACAACAGGAGCTGGGCTGAGATCACCAATTTGTTACTACAGGCTGCTAACTAATTAGCTGGTGGATGCTGCCTCCCAGTTACTGCCTTTGTGTGTTCTGCTAGGGTCAAAGTGAGGCCTCCTTAGAGGAACACTGGGTGAAATCTCTCCAGCAAAAATTTAGCTGGCCACGTCACACACAGTGTGCAGTGCTTATTATGTGCCCCTTGCTTGTACCAGATAGAGGGCGACACTAGTCGACATGACCATATTCTAACGGATTAAAATCATCTTAGGGACAGGCAATCTGGCCACACAGGTATTTTTACTCCTTGGGATTTATTTTTTAAGTCATGCAATCTAGGAGACAGAAGGAGTCTTAGAAAATCCAGTCTGACCTCTACATTTTGCTGAGAACATCACCAAGATTATGAGAGGTTTAAATTTACTCGAGTTCATGACAGTCCTAGTTTCTTTCTGTTGTACCAGGCTGCTCCTCATCTTAGTCAGGAACTTTGCATATGACAACCGTTTTAGTCCATTCCACATCCAGGGCAAGAGCCCACGCATGAAGCACTGAGAAACAGAAAACTATTCAGGGCAATGCTTTAGATAGATATTCTGGGATTTTTAAGTCAATGCACAGAAACAAAACTTTGATTTTAGCTCTCTCCTTTGGTCTAATTTAAAAAAAAAAAAGAAATAGCAAGGAATCTCTTTATGTAGTTCTTTTTTAAATCTGTAACTGGGAGTAAAACCAACAGTTCTGATAATGTCTACGTTGCATATTTGCAGCATCACTCCCATGTACTTGTTTGGAGCTCAGCCCTATATGTTTTGGTAGGCTCCATGGTAAAATTTTCAGGCATATGTATATGTATTTTAAACCACAGCTCTAAATACTGATCTAATGGAGAAAAATTAAAATTACAAAATTCAGAGTCAAAGCACTCCTAGGTTCAAAACTGGGATTTGACACTTATTAATTGTATCACTTATTTGACATCTCAGAACCTACGTTCATCATCTGTATAATGGGAACAATAATGAGAAGGGCTGTGGAGGGCTTCAACCATATGCATCCTCCCCATTCCTCCCTCCTTTCTGCCTTTTCCATGAGTATAACTGGATCCAAAAGTGTGCTTAGTTTCTTGCCCTTTTTCAAAAATGCCAAGAGAAGAAACTAAATGAATATACATTTCCTGTTTAAAAGGACTTAAATGTTTCTCTCTAAAAGCAATTTTTAAAACAAGCATCATATGAGGACGTTTCAGGATACTGAGAGCTTCTGTTTCATTCTGCCTTTCTTTCCTTTTTTCTCTATTTATTTCCCTTCTGTCCTCCCTACAAACATCTTTTGTAAAATGTACATGAACGGCCCAAGGCTTGCATCGTTCCTCTGTCCCCGAGTCAACTCTGTCCAGACTCAGGCTTTGGATCTGTGAGTGACGCAAGATGCTGTTTTTGGCTTCAGGAATGTTTTCCTCTATGTTCCGACTCCTCTCTTGTTGTCCTTCTTTCCTCTCCATCTTTTCTCCACCTCTCTCCCCAGACACCCCCACTGTTTCTCTCTTCCTGTTTTCTTAGTTTCTTCCTCCCTCCGTGGTGGCCGAAACACCAATCAATCACAGCCACTGTCACAATCGCAGTTCTATCTCTGGCTCCTCTGTCTCCATGATAAAACAAGATAGGAGCAGCCTTTCCAAAAGACAGACAATCCCCACAGTAGCCTGTGGGAGGCTGCCTGGCGCGGGCACGTCGTCCAATAAGAGCTTTTCCGTGCAGCTGCAAGGCCTGGGAGAGCAAAACGACAGCTAGCTGCGAAAGTTTGCCGGTGACACAGTTAAGTGTTTTGCTGCAAGAAAACATGGGAAAATTCTGATAAATTCCAGATGATTTCAAAACACATTTGAGGGGCAGATATACAAAAGGCAGATAAAATTTGAATTAGGTAAGTACAAGCTGATGCACAAATCTCTATTTAGGTCCAAACATCTTGCAGATTGGAAGGCTTTAAATTTGACAATTCCCAGTAAGGGATGATAAAAATTGAACTTTGCTCTCTTTAAACCCCAAGTCATTACAAGAGGAGAGAGTTCACTCAAAGTTGAAGTCTAACAGCTAGTAAAAAGCAGAGGGAAATGGGCATTATGGATAAACATGGGGAAGATTTTTAATTAAGTTAAGAAACAGGACTATTAGGAAAGACACAAAGTATATTAAAAATATATTCATTGTCATGTCTGCATGGGTGGTGCACGTTCACAGTATAACCTTACACGCCAGTTCCTTCACTGCTATTCTAGAAGACAGGTTCTGTCTTGGTGCTAAAGGCGGGTAGAGCAGCTTTCACCTGGCATTCCCTGCGCTAAACCCACATTCATCAATATCATCAGGTTTATTAAGCTGGCATGGTCTTAGGCCTGAGTAAAACTTAGACCTTTCATTTTATGCAGTTAATAAATCTAAATTTTTCTTTTTCTTCACTCAACTTTTAACTTGAAATTTCCAAACTTATAGAAAAGCTGAAAGAAAGTGTCAAGATCGTCCAGATCAGGTTCCCTTTTCAGCATCACTGACATTTTTCCACCTCTTTGAGGGTCCAAGTGAGTTTGCTTGCTTGATGATTTGGGGGAGGGGGGGCAGGAGTGTGAAATAAAATTGTTAATTTGGGCTATTTGTGTGTTTTGTGTTTAGTGGCAAAGCTGAACTGAAGCATTTGGTGGAGCCTTCCTCATTCTTCCTGAGCGGAGATCTTGGGATCCCCCATTGGGAAGAAGGTGGGGTCTACAAAGCAGTCTGCAAAGACCTGGACTCCACCCCCTCCCCCAAGGAAAACTTACAGACCTGCCTCCGGTAAGTCAGGGCCAAGCAGGAGTACACAGGGAACACAGGCCCTGTAGCTACTGGGACGTTGGGTACACAGCCGATTTGCAACGAAGCCCAGGACAGGAGCAGAGTTTTCTCTTCTTTCCTACTAACTGCTCTCATTGAAAGCGTCCTTGCTTTGATGAAATTAGTATTTTCCTCTGGGAAAATGCACAGAGAGAAAGCTCTAGTTCTACCTCTGTCCCTTTTCTTTGTTACATTAAGTGGCAACAGCTTTTCTAATCATTAATAAATATAGGTTTGCAAATCACAATGACAGCGTTGGGGTCAGGCTGTGTGTTACAAGCACTTAAAATCGCCACCTTCCGCCCCAGTAAAAACAACAAAAAAAATTCTCTTTGTTTGCCATCTCTGTACTGTTTAACATGACTATTTCAACAGTCTTTATTTTCCAAACATGCAAACAGGAGAGAGTGATCTGACCCACAGTGTATTGACATACCATGTCGCTATAACCTTGAGATAAAAAGTAAAGGGAAAAGTCAAAACAGCTCAAACCAAACGCTAACACAAATGAGTCTTTCTTCACTCCAGAACCCTTCCCCTGTATCAGGAAACAAATCAGCGTTAATACAGACTGGCAATGGTGGATACACATGGATCTACGCTGGTGCGGCTCCACAGGGCCCCAAATACAGAGCTGGAAAGTCTAATGTATTAACTAATTAATTCAACAACTATTTATACTGTGTGCATCAACTCCATGCCAGACATGGTTCTAAGTGTTGGGGATGTCTTGCATATTTAGGGGATATATAAGACTCGCAAGATCTCTGCCCTTGTGTAATTTATCTAATGGTGTTTGAAAAAAAAATCAGAGAATAGAGCCCACAGAGCTGAGAGGATATGGGAAATAGCAGCTACACCAGAAAGCCTGAGCTGGTTTCCTGGATTCTGTATATCCAGGAATGCAACTGCTTCAAAATCTGGGTCAAACTGTGGAAGGGCTGTTAAAGACAGACAGAAAGAAAAAAGCACAAAATCGAAGAGAAACTTCTCTCCCCACCACATGTGGGAGGGTCCTTTGGGAGTATTTATCAGATTGAATAAGGAAGAGTTAAACCTAATGTTTATAAGATAACGGACAAAAAGAACAATAATGACTGTACCTTTGTCTTATGCTGAAAGAACTCCAAAGATGGAATGTTCCAACAGAATAACAGGTAACTTTCTGAACATCTTTGCTATGCTGAGCTCAGTGCTAAGCATTTACGTGTATTAGCTTATTTAATTTCTTACCCAAACACCTGGTGAGGTAAACACTAATGTTATTTCCATTTCCCATTTGAAGAAACGGACCTAGAAAATGTAAATAACTTGTCCTTGCCCAAGGACATAAACCTGGTAGAGAGTGGAACCAGAATCAGATCTCAACTCTGTCTGACTCAAAATTCATGTCCTAAACCACTATATGAGAACTGTCCAGAAAGTAACCAACCATGTAACCATTCTCATTATGTTAACAATGGCTGGATACTTTCTGGACATGCCTCATATTTCCATTCATAAAATTATTTGTATCATTTTATGTACGTGAAAAGCAAAAAGGCGTTAATATTGAATAGGAAAATTATTCAGGTATCTTTGGAAAGCGGTCTGTATTTTCAAGATATTATCTTAGAATAGACATTCAAACATATTCTATCGGTCAAAAGCAAATACACATTACTTTCTCAAATGCATGAAAAATTGAGAAATGACTTTTGTAATTGCTTAAACATATGTAAGTCCAACATCTCAAATTAGATTTATGATTCAAGAATGACTGGAGATCAGTATTGTACTTAACTGATAAATTACTCTTCAAAGATTTTTACAGCTGAACTGCATACATTTCCATCTTTGCACTTTATCTGAAAATTGAATTAATAATAAAATAACTAAGGTGAAACTGCAGAACTCCATAATGAAGTTTATGCCTACTGGGGGATGAATCTATATAAAAAATAATTGCATTGGAATTAAACTTTGGAAGGAGGTGAAGGTCTTGTTGCTTAAAATCATTTAAATTAAATGTATGAAAGGTAATCAGAGCGTTTATTTTTACTTTGTTTTGTGGGAAATTACTCTGGGAATGTGGATCTATTGTAAACAAAGGATGTTGGCTTTCTGCTGGAACCACCAAGCAGGTTGAGTTGAGAAACAATTAGCTTAGTCAGCAAACTTTGACCCCCATTAATCCAGGAAATGGTCACTCCAGGACAGGGCAGAATGAAGGGAATCAAGGCAGAATCTCTGAAACAAGGAATGATTTTTCCTTCTCTTTCTCTCTCTGAAACAAACTAGTATTAGAATTTGTTATGTCAAATTTATGTCAAGGATTATTTCATTACATTCAACCTTTGGTGAAACAAATAGAATCTTGTTTCCAGTTAGATCAACGGTTAACATGTGTCATGGCTACTGTCTCTAAGAAACTTCTGTTTATCGAGGCCAGTCATACTCTCATGTTTTGGTAACAAAACATCCGTTGAGACCAAGGACTCAAGTCACAGAGGGAAATGAAGGGCCTATACCAGGCTGCTGGCTGGGTTCTCGCCACTCTGGGGAGTCTCAGTGTATGTTCCGGAGTCATTGCTTTCTTCCCCGTCTTCTCTTCCAAGCTTTGGTTCACAGGATGGAGTGTTTGGATTGCTTGTCCCATCTGGAATGGAGCTTTGGTAGGAAAATATTCTGTTAAATATATTGAGAAAATAAAGGATGGTATAAGGGAAAGGGGAAATAGAATAACATGTCCTTTTTTAAATTTTCTAATATTATGAAGTCACAATTATACAGAAAGTGAGAATTCACCTTAGAAAATTGATTTTTATTTGTTGCATTTCAAGTATGGAAATTTTTAAATACTGTTTTATCATGTATGCACGTATATCAGCGCAGTATAATGAAATATTGCTCAAGAAATTCTTAAAAAGTTAGTTTATTTTAATCCTCTCCCCTTGATATTCTGAGAAACTAGAATCATTTTTTGAAATTTTAATTTTGAATTTAGAAAAAAATAAACCATGAAACACAACATAAGTTGTAGAATAAAGTAGAACAACTTTTAAACTAATGCTTTCCTTAGAAACACTATGATGTGTCTACTTGACCCCAAAATTTGCAAGTCCAAAATCTTTGTTTATTCTATTTTTTCCTTTGCATGGATCTGTTTGAACTAAAAACAATACAAGAAGTGGGACAATGGACTTCACTGACTTCACAATGCACTAGGAAAGCGTATGAGTGCCAAGTACAGTGTCTGACACCAAGTAGGTGCTCAATGTATGCTCCTTGAATGATCACACAGATACATGACTGGCCTGGTACCACAGCTCCCCAGGCCAAAGAAATGAGAACATCTGCCCTTGGGAGTAAGTGGCTTCCATGGCGGCATGATTTAAGAGAAGCTATGAAGGCCCACCTTCTCAATGAATTCTTCTCCCTTTGTTTCCTGTGATGTGTGACACTCACCACTGGATACTAGAAAATTGGATTTTGGAGCTTTTTGATCTTAAGGAATTTTCTATTAAAATGTAGCCACTCTTGAGTGGGATAACATCTTAAATCTTTTTTTTTTTTTTTTTTTTTGAGACAGGGGGTCTTACTCTGTCACCCTAGGCTGGAGTACAGTGGTGTGATCATAACTCATGGCATTCTTGAAGTCCTGGGCCCAAGCAGTCCTCCTGCCTCAATCTCTTGAGTAGCTAGGACCTCAGGTGTGTGCTTCCATGCCCAGCTCATTTTGTAAAAAATTATTTTGTAGAGACAGGGTCTCACTATGTTGCCCAGGCTGGTCTCAAACTCCTGGCCTCAAGCAATCCTCCTGGCTCAGCCTCCCAAAGTGCTAGAATTACAGATGTGAGTCACCAAGCCTGGCCTAAAACCTTTAAATAATTAAAACTTTAACTAGGATACTACCTAAAATCAAGACCCCAGGAAATATAATTTTTAATCTATTAGATAAATATTTTTAATAGGCTACTATGTATTGAGTTACAATGGAGGATAAAACAAGATCCTGATCTTAAAAAAGCTCATTCTAGTAGCATTTAAAAATGGTGTGAAGATAGGAGAAACAGGGTGGTGGGAGGGTTGCACTGAGCAGGGCAACCATTGTGTGATGCTTACTTATCCTTCTCATTTTTTCTTTTTCACTACATTCCTTTGTATTTACCACACTAGTCTTGACCTTCCCCTCCCCTTTCCTCCATAATCTATCTGAAACCGTACATTCATTCAAAGAAATATTTATTAGACTTTTACTAGAATGCAGAAATGGAAGTTACATATATTCAAGCAGTTTCCAAACTTCTTGCTGGTGACTCAGAGTTAGAAAAATATTTTACATCAGGACCTGGAATGTACATAAATACATCTACATATTTCTCTCTAGATAAACAGACATCTATATATACATATAACAAAAGTTTCACAAAATAATATTTACCCCTCTATGTAAAATGTATTCCATTTAATTTTTTAAATTGTGATTGTACAAAGTTTAACAAAATCAGGATTATAGTCCAATCCTGTGCCCTTTTCTCATAGCTTTTTGCCTTCCCCTGCAGAGTCTATCATAAGGCATTCAACAAATATTGGTGATTTCAATTAAGATTACAGATTGTAGAATATAGGCTAGTTCTAGGTCAAACATCTATTTTGCTAATTAGGCCCAGAGAAATGATATGATGTGACCTCAGCATATAGCTAGTTGGTGACTATTTGATTTCAGAGCTGGCAGCATGGGAAAGTGCAGTCAGAGATAAAGGACTTAAGGAGATAGACCTGGGTTCAAGTCCTGACTTTGATATTCTTGGTGCGTGGCCAAAAGCAGGACCCTCCATCAGCCAGTCCCTCATCGCCTTTATCTGTAAAATGGGGAGTTTTACAGACAAAAAGAGATTCTCAGTGGGAATGAACACAATTTAAACAAAGACTGTATGATAAAGAGCTTTGCCAATTTTAAAGCTCTACTCAAATGCTAGTTAATACCATGCCTTTCATTTGTGCTCTACTCTGTGTTCAAACCCTTTGTCCTTAATCTCTTGCCACCCGTCTCACTCTTCTATCCTATTCCCTGATGAACTGCTGAATTCCACATCGCATTGGCTCTTGGACTTTATCTCCTACCACACTTCTCTTATATCTTTTCTCTTCCATTACGTTGGCTCCTTGCTGTTTGCAAACATGCCATGTTGTGTTTCTACCTCAGGGCCTTTTTACTGCCTCCTCTCTGCCTAAAGCCTCTTCCTGAACTTGGCTCACTTTTTAAATCTCTTTCGATTCTTGATCAAATGTCACTTTCTTACTGAGGTCTGCCCTTACTGCCCTATTTAAAATTGCAGCCCCCATTCCCCTAAATGGTATTCCCAATCTCACACCCTGCTCCATTTTTTTCCCATACCCTTTATCACTATACAAGATACTATGTAATTTACTTATTGTGTGTTTCTTTTCCTCTACCCAACCAAATGTATTTTGTGCAAGAGCAGGGACTTTTTTCTATATTGTTTACTGCTGTATATTTATAACTTAGAATAGAGGGAGTCACATGCTAGATATTCAGTACATGTTGTTCAATAAATATTGTTATATGAGTGAATGAACTCATGCTCTCCATTATAGATTTGCAGAATTTCTTATACAGTCGAACTCTGATTAAATTGCAAGGACTAAAGGTCAAGCTGGTATTTATACTAAAGCAGGAAAAAATTCTCATGAGAAGGAAAGTAATAAGAATGCTCACTCTTTAAATAATGTCTGAATTTAGAACAACATCATTTTTTTCCTACTGAGTTTGCTACTGAACCACAGTTCTGTCTGATCAGGGTCAACTTTAAAAGGTCTCTGACTCCTGCCATGATCTCCCTTGCCAATCACCTCTTAACATGCCTCCAAAGTATGTCTTCCTCCAGTGAAAAGATAATTTGTACCTTTCAATCATATTGACATTTCCTTTTGAAGATGACTCCATATTTCTTTGAAGACTTGTAAGAGAGAGATTTTTGTAATTTGTTCAATGCCTTTCATTTCAGGCTTTCTAAGTACTTTATAAATATTGGTTCTCGGACTTTCCTAGCCTGGTTTTGACAACCACATGACAAGCAGTTTTCCTAGAATTTCAGAGTTCTGTTATTAAAAGACATCAGCTGCAATAAAGTATGCAGTGAGGAGATTGTAATACCTTGAGAACTGAGCTCTATTAATCCTGGAAGACAAAGCTTGTAGATCAAGCTCTGATGAAGAGGCTGAAGTAGAGTGACTTTATACACCAGACCTGAGACTTGGAGAGTCTAGACATTCGGCCAATGGCAAGCAGCAGCACTGTACCCAGAACCCAGCTTAAATGCAGGAATGTGGGAGACAGGTCAGGGCCAGGCAGAGCCACAGGCCCCATTTTCCTCACCTGTTAGAGAAGGGTCTTGATTACATGATCGCTCAAGAATCTTGCAGCTTCAACAGTCATGTGACTTCCAAGTGCCTGTGGTGTTAAAGAAAAACCAGAGCTAGACAGGTTTTTAAGCAATAAAAACAGATATTGTAATTGGGAGAAAAGAGATCTCAGTGTAAAACTGAGTTCAAGTCCAAATACAGTGTGGGCAAGGGAGAGTTTATAGCTAATGAGCAAGGTGGGGGTCAGTGGAAGGAAAATTACTAAGAGGAAACATCAGGGGTCAGGGGGATTCTAGCTAAACCTATCTAACGCTATTCTTGCTAAAGACAGGCCAGAGTGATTAGACACCACCTGGGGGATGGTGGCAGATAAGGAATTATGTGAATATTGAAGGTGATCGATATTCAAGGTGGGGTATTCTTGCTAAACTGTTTTAGTAGGGTTCTTGCTAAAACTGGATTTTATAAGAAGTGCACAGATGGACTTAGGAGAAGATTCAGGAACCTAACTAAAGTTTGGTCAAGCAAAGAATCTTGGTCAATGATCAATTTTCCACTTAGATTTCCTAAGTTTCAAGATCAGCTTGTCTGCAAACAAATTAACCATCTTGTCACCAAAACCTATTCTTTCTTCTCCAACTTCCCTGTCCTTGTCATAGGAACTCAATTTCAAATCCTGGAGTGACTTTTGACTCAGTCCTTCGCTCTGAGCTAGCCCTTCTCAAACTGCAGTGTGCGTGCAAGTCACTGAGGGATCTTGTTGAAATGTAGGTTCTAGTGGAGGCGGTCGGGGTGAGGCCTAGGAGTCTGCATGTTTAACAAGCTCCCAGAAGACACCAGGCTGCTGATCCTAGGACTGCACTGTGGGCAGCAATGCCCAAATCAACCCCACTCCAGTCCCTCTCTAATCCATTGCCATGTAACTTTAATTTCTCCTACGAGACATATTCCTATGCATTCCTTCTCACTGTACACACACCCATCCGTCACCACTTTCACTTCTTGCTCAGATTTCATGCCTAGGTAACTTGGATAGCCAAACTTTGGGAATTTATCCATTAATGGATTATAAAATCAATCTATTAGGTAGCTAGCAGCATTTACAATAACCAAATAGAATAGAATAGAGAATATTAGAGTGCGTCAAGAACCCTTAACACAAGAAGGGTTAAGTATTGCTTTGATTAGACATAAAAATATTCATAACTAGACCATGATGTGAAATGTACTACTTACTGTAGATAAATTTTTTTTAAAATGTCTCAATACCAGGGTCCTACAGAGACTTCTAGGCGTCACTCTATTCCAATCCAGCGTGCACTTGACAACTGACTCATCATCTCTCTAAACCTCTTCGGTAGTCAGGCTAGCTGCTTCTTTGAAAATTTTAGTGTTGTTTCATTGTCCCCAAAGTCCAGACATGCTCACTTGAGTTGTGAGGGCCTCTTCACCCTGGTGTCACAGGGTTTTCAACCTTGACTTTCTACCCTTCTCCCTTCGGTCTGGGTTCCTCACTCACTGTTCCCCAAGATGGCCCCTTTCCCACCTTTGCTCCCACAGCCTGGACTGCCTCGCCCTGTCACCTCCCACTGAAATCACATCCATCCTCCAAACCCACTGCAGACCCAATTTCCCCATGATGCCTCATCACCCACATTTCCCCGGGCAGTGGCATCTTACCACTGAGCTTTCCTCCTGTAGAAAGTACTTGTTCTTCTTGCCTAATTTTGTAGCTATTCTTATATGTGCGTTATTTTCACACCTGTACCATAAATTCCGATGAGAATGGGAACATTATTTGTGCAATTATTATCCGGTGATGTTGCTTATCTTATTTAGCTATGCCTCATTTAAAAACTAGGAGAATATTTACATGATAGGGTCACTGTGAAGATTAACTGAGTTAACACATGTAAAGTGTTTAGCACGGTGCCTGGCATATATTAAGCACTCAATAAATGTTAACAGCTAGTGTTATTTTATCTGCACAGTGCCTAGCACGTCCCTTATTTGTAGTAGACTTATAACAGATGCTTGTAAGTGAATAAATTATCCCATATTAATATGATGCCTTTAAAAGTTTCTATTTCTGTTGTGACTGCTCCCTGCTTCCTTCAATTCATCTGCTTCTGGGAACTGCATCCTTTACTCAGGCAATTTAAAGATTTAGTGGGAGGGCTTTCAGTTACTATGCACTCAAAGTATTTGCAGCAATTGTTGTAAAACCCAACTAATGCCCCTGGACGTGCCTGGCAAACAAGCCAATGGCATGTCAAGAAGAGCTGCAGGAGAAGAGAGCAGGATCAAGCCATCTCCCCCTTGCCCATCCACTGCCAGATGCACCTGCCCTTTCTCACAACTTGGCTGCCCTGTTCATCTCTCAGATACCCCCCCACACACACACACGCATCTCCTCTCCCCTCTTGATTTGTCTTTCCTACAGTTAAATCTCTTTTTGTAAAATTATTTTCTCCTCTCTATCTAAAAATAAAATTTATAAAAAGAAATGGACCCAAGAAAGGAGGAAGGCTATGCCTCTTGGAGGAAAATATCCCTCACTCTGCCTCCCATGCCTGGACGTGGGGGGTCACCAGGAAAGACGGCGTGCTCAGCTCTGGAGCTGTGATTTACAGGGTGGATTTAGCAAGTTACTGAATGGCATTCATGCTCAGCCTACTCCATGAAAGATCTTTTTCAAAGTTTTGTGTAAACAAAGCAAAATTCAAGCTGGCAGCTACAACAGAAATAACAGGCAACTGAAATTCTGCAGCATTTTTCAACTTTTGAAAGGAAAGAAACAGATCGTGCCAAAGTAGTTAAGGAAACCTGGAATCGAAGCATCTGATAATGTCAGCTATCTGCTCAGAGTTAAACCAGCAAAGAGGTGTGAGTGTGTCTTCTTTGCTTTTGTCTTGCTTCAGTGGTTCTCTCAGAGGAGTGATGTGTCAATTGAGGGCCACACCCCTGAAAGCATAGAACAGCCCCAGGCTTACCCCACAGCATCAGTGTTGCAGTTGCTCTTTAATAATTCTCCTGTTTTGTTGTACTATTTGTGCTGGCTCAACCCCCATAGGGTCCCTTGGAAACTTTCCTCTTGCAAAATCAAGCCAGGAACCTCTTTTGACAACAGATGGTTCTGTTTTTATCCATGGGAGTTTTATGGTATGGTCATGCCAAGTCTGAAATTTTAGGCTCGGCTAACATGAGAAGTTTGTGTGTGCATGTGTGTGTGAGTGTGTATGCGTATTTTCCTCTCTGTCAAATTCTCTAAATCCAACATTCAAAATAAAATATGCCAGGAAAATGAAAAGCTAAGTCTCAAAACAATAACTATGCCAGACCCAGAGCTACAAAAGCAACTTACCACGAAACCATATTGGTAAAAACGCTGATTTTTCCCCTTACGTTTGTTGATTATGTACATATAGTCATGTTTACCTCTCTGTCTGAAACCTAAAATGTACTATTTTTAGACCTGTCTACATTCTATATCTTATTTTAGGCACATCTCTTCCTGATTTTCCCTCAACCTCAAAACAGTTCTTAACCAAGAACAAATGAGTTATATGGATTAGAAATAAGCGATTTCCAGCCTCACTGACCACAGAGGTCTACTTCATGAGCCCTGGTGCTGAATCAAAGAACCAAAGATTTTTTTTTTCTTTCATTATCTATTGCTCAATTCTCATGACACCATTCCCTCCTTTGTTTAACTGTTTTCATTCGGCACTTTGGACCTTTTTCCTTCAACAGAGACTATAAAGAAAAATGCCTTTTGGTGGGGCTGGACACAACTCCACCCAGAACACTAATGCCACATCATGCATACCTTCTAATGATAACCTTTGTTACTTGAGAAACCAGGATCATATATCCGTATCCCACCAGCAAGCTGAGGCTACAGAATCTCAAAGAAAGCAACTAGAAAAGATAATGCCACTGCTAGAAGGTTTTGTGACAAGTTTCCATTCCGGTTCCTCCCATCTGCAATTTTAGCAATTTGTGAGAAAGATGAACAATAGACAATTAATCAAAACAAAACATATGGCAAGGGTTATAAAGCCAAGCTTTCATTATGGTGACACCTTACAGTAGCATAGGTTATGATTGTGATGGCAAAGGCATGACAGAGAATCAAAAAATGAGCTTATATGAATCATGTCTTTATGACACTAATGGCTTACTTTCCTCATCATCATCACAGTTTCTTCCACGGATGAGGAGGAAATCAGAGCTGTAAATCCATTTAGCCATTTGCTGCTCCTTCTCATTCATGATAAAATTGTCAAACTGTGAGATGGATGGAATGCTTTCCAGAGGTACCTTCCACCTTGGATGTTATTTTTCCATTTTCTTTTCACAGGCCATCACGGCTGGTATCCTTCTACTGTTGGCTTGCAAAGAGTGGACCCAGAGATACCTGGTAAATATACAGATGTCAAGTAAGACAGCAGAGTGGGCTTGAAGGTCAAATCACAACTAGTTCAGGATGGAACACAGAAAATATGATTTCCAATTATAATGGAATCAAGTTTAATCAATGCCTTACTATGATGGATTGCAGGATAAACTATATTTTAAATGATAATTTTTATCTGATTCTTGCTCTAAATATTTTCTACAAGTTCCTATGATTATTATTGTATTTGGGGAGGGCAGAGTCAGCATTAGTGCTCCTGAATTTCATTTTGAAGGAACGGTCTACAGGCTCCTATGCTTTTAATAACGTAATTTTAAGTCTCAAATCCTCAATCAGATGTCTCCTTCCAATCTCACTGTTACCTCTCTCTCTAATAAAAGATAAAAGGTCTATGATATCTTGCATTTCAACAATATAGAACCAGGTAATCCCGTGATGCAGAAAGACTATGTTATCTGCTTATAGATTTTATTTCCATGGCTAAGGCTGTGCTTCCAAACTTTAGTGTATGCGTGTATCAGCTGGAGATCTGGTTAAAGTGCTGATTCTGATTCAGTAGATCTAAGTGAGGCCTGAGATTCTACATTTCTGCCAGGCTCCCAGGGGCTGTCAGTGCTACTGCACCATAGACCACACCCTGAGTAACAAAGTCCTTGAGTGGAGAGTCTGTTTAACTCATCTTTGTTTTCCTTACCCAGACTGGTTCTCTACACATAATAAGAAATAAGTAAATAGTAAATGTTTATTGAATTGATTTCATTTTTGCCCCAGTTGGTATGTTTTTCTCCCATGGTGTATATTGGAGATGAAAATTAATACAAGGGCATAAAGACAGGGTTGTGACCCAATTCTCCTGTATTTCCCAGTAGGAGAGATTAATACCTGGCATCTCTTTTTTTCTTCATATTGCTAAAATAGCTTTTGAAATGTCTCATCCACAAAGTTAACAATTTGTCTCTGCTTTGTTTTCAGTGGGAAGCTAGTTTCACCTTTGTGATTGTGAGCATTATGGGATGTCCACTTCATTTTGCAATAGCCTTGGAATCTGCTCTCCTAGGCCCATATTGCTTCTACTCATTTTCAGGGACTGCAGGGACCAATTACCTTGGTTATGCAGTTGCCTTTCCATTTCCATACACACAATTCCCATCAATTTGTGTGGACCCACCACACTATGAAGAGTACCACCTGACACTTCAAGCCCTCGACCTGTGCCTGAGCTTTGCCCTGCTCTGCACATCCCTGACAGTGTTTGTCAAGCTTTCTGCAAGACTTATCAGGAATGGACACATAAACGTAAGTTTCAACAGAGGGGAGCAGGTTCTTGTTCCATTCTGAATGCTAAAATGGAAGGTCTGGTATATTGTGGTTCCCAGATATATCCCCAAGGATATATCTGGCCTGTTAGGGACTGGGCCACGTAGCTCTGCTGCTCTCCACTCCTGTCCTCTTCTCCCTGTGTGTGGAAAAATTGTCTTCCATGAAACTTGGACCACACAGCAGGAGGTGAGCATAAGGCAAGCAAACGAAGCTTCATCTATGTTTTGGGCCTGCTCCCCATCACTCACATCACCGCCTGAGCTCTGTCCCCACCCCATCCCTGTCCATGGAAAAATTGTCTTCCATGAAACGAGTCTCTGGTGCCAAGAAGATTGGGGACTGCTGTATGTGAATACTTAATCTCTCTCTGTTATTCATCTCTGTATCCTGTAAGCCCATGCTATCCCAGGTCTGGTATATGATAGGTACTCAATAATTGTTTTTGAATGAATGAATGTAAATATGTAATGTTTTGAATTACAATGTAATGTAATGTAATGTTTTGAATGTAAATATGTAATTGTTTTTGAATGAATGAATGTAAATATGATGATGTTATAACTGAAGGGATGGCTGTAGGTAGCACCAGCCAATTATTATCTCAATTTTAAAAATTATTCATAGAAACAAGATAAACATGCCCCCTCTCACCACTTCTATTCAACATAGCTCTGAAGTACTAGTGGAGCAATTAGGCAGGAAAAAGAGAAAAAAGGCATCCAAATCAGAAAAGAAGGTGTAAAATTGACTCTCTTTATAGATGACATGATCATGTATATAAAAACCCTAAAGACTCCAACAACAAAAAAATGATAGAACTAATAAACAAATCAGATAATGTTGCAGGATACAAAATCAACATTAAAAAATCAGTTGTATTTCTGTACACTAATAACATTCTGAAAAAGAAACTAAGAAAACAAACCCATTTATAATTCCATCGAAAAGAATAAAATACTTAAAAATAAACTTAACCAAGGATGTGAAAGATGTGTATTCTCAAAACTATAAATATTGTTGAAAGAAATTGAAGACACAAATAAATAGGAATATATCCCATATTCATAGATGCGAAGAATTAGTATTGTTAAATGTAAAATGTCCATACTATCCAAAGTGATGTATATACTCAGTATACTTCCCATCAATTCCAATGACATTTTTTCACAGAAATAGAAAACACAATCTTAAAGTTTGTATGGATCCACAATGATCCAAGAATAGCTAAAGCAATCTTGAGAAAGAACAAAGCAGGAGACATTACATTTCCTGATTTCAAACTATATTACAAAGCTATAGTAATCAAAATAGTATGGTACTGGCATAAAAACAGACAATAGATCAACGGAACAGAGCAGAAAGCCCAGAAATAAACCCACACATAGGCCCAGCGCAGTGGCTCATGCCCATCGTCCTAGCACTCTGGAAGACCGAGGTGGAAGGACCACTTAAACTCAGGAGTGCAATACCAGCCTGAGAAAGAGTGAGACTCCATCTCTACTAAAAATAGAAAAAATTAGCTGGTGTGGTGGTGCATGCCTATAGTCCCACCTACTAGGGAGTCTGAGGCAGGAGGACTGCTTGAGCCTGGGAGTTTGAGGCTGTGGTGTGCTATGATCATGCCACCTCATACTCTAGCCTGGGACAACGGAACGAGACTCTGTCTAAAAAATAAATAAATAAGTAAACCCATACATATATGGTCAAGTAAAATATGATAAGGGTGACAGAAACACATAATGAGGAAAACATAGTCTCTTCAATAAATAGTGTTGGGAAAACTGGATATCTACATGCAAAAGAATGGACTTGGACCCCAATCCTATATCACTCATAAAAATTAACTTAAAATGTATTAAAGACTTAAATTTAAGACCTAAATCTGTAAAACTGTTAGAAGAAAGCATGGTGGAAAACTCCTTAATGTTTATCTTGACAATGATATTTTGGATATGACACCAAAAGCACATGCAACAAAAGCAAAAATAAACAGTGCACCTATATCAAACTAAAAACCTCTGCACCATGAAGAAAACAATCAATAAAATGAAAAGGCAGCCTATGAAATGGGGGGAAATATTTGCAAATCATATATCTGACCAGGGGTTAACATCCAAAATATATAGGGAACTCTTACAACTCAATAGCAAAAAATAATCTGATTTAAAAATGGGCAAAGGACCTGAATAGACATTTTCCCAAAGAAGACATACAAATGGTCGACAGGTACATGAAAAGGTGTTCAACATTACTGATCATCAGGGAAATGCAAATCAAAACCACAATGTAATATCACTTCACACCTCCCACTGCAGACCCAATTTCCCCGATGATGCTCATCACCCACATTTCCCCGGGCAGTGGCATCTTACCACTGAGCTTTCCTCCTGTAGAAAGTACTTTGTTCTTTCTAAAATTTGTAGCTATTCTTATATGTGCATTATTTTCACACCTGTACCATAAATTCCGATGAGAATGGAACATTATTTGTGCAATTATTATCCGTGATGTTGCTTATCTTATTTAGCTATGCCTCATTTAAAAACTAGAAATATTTACATGATAGGGTCACTGTGAAGATTAACTAGTTAACACATGTAAAGTGTTTAGCACGGTGCCTGCATATATTAAGCACTCAATAAATGTTAACAGCTAGTGTTATTTTATCTGCACAGTGCCTAGCACGTCCCTTATTTGTAGTAGACTTATAACAGATGCTTGTAAGTGAATAAATTATCCCATATTAATATGATGCCTTTAAAAGTTTCTATTTCTGTTGTGACTGCTCCCTGCTTCCTTCAATTCATCTGCTTCTGGGAATGCATCCTTTACTCAGCAATTTAAAGATTTAGTGGGAGGCTTTCAGTTACTATGCACTCAAAGTATTTGCAGCAATGTTGTAAAACCCAACTAATGCCCCTGGACGTGCCTGGCAACAAGCCAATGGCATGTCAAGAAGAGCTGCAGGAGAAGAGAGCAGGATCAAGCCATCTCTCCTTGCCCATCCACTGCCAGATGCACCTGCCCTTTCTCACAACTTGGCTGCCCTGTCATCTCTCAGATACCCCCCACACACACACACGCATCTCCTCTCCCCTCTTGATTTGTCTTTCCTACAGTTAAATCTCTTTTTGTAAATTATTTTCTCCTCTCTATCTAAAAATAAAATTTATAAAAAGAAATGACCAAGAAAGGAGGAAGGCTATGCCTCTTGAGGAAAATATCCCTCACTCTGCCTCCCATGCCTGACGTGGGGGTCACCAGGAAAGACGGCGTGCTCGCTCTGGAGCTGTGATTTACAGGGTGGATTTAGCAATTACTGAATGGCATTCATGCTCAGCCTACTCCATGAAAGATCTTTTTCAAAGTTTGTGTAAACAAAGCAAAATTCAAGCTGGCAGCTACAACAGAAATAACAGGCAACTGAAATCTTGCCAGCATTTTCAACTTTTGAAAGGAAAGAAAAACAGATCGTGCCAAAGTAGTTAAGGAAACCTGGAATCGAAGCACTGATAATGTCAGCTATCTGCTCAGAGTTAAACCAGCAAAGAGGTGTTGAGTGTGTCTTCTTTGCTTTTGTCTTGCTTCAGTGGTTCTCTCAGAGGAGTGATGTGTCAATTGAGGCCACACCCCCTGAAAGCATAGAACAGCCCAGGCTTACCCCACAGCTCAGTGTTGCAGTGCTCTTTAATAATTCTCCTGTTTTGTTGTACTATTTGTGCTGGCTCAACCCCATAGGGTCCCTTGGAAACTTTCCTCTTGCAAAATCAAGCCAGGAACTCTTTTGACAACAGATGTTCTGTTTTTATCCATGGAGTTTTATGTATGGTCATGCCAAGTCTGAAATTTTAGCTCGGCTAACATGAGAAGTTTGTGTGTGCATGTTGTGTGAGTGTGTATGCATTTTCCTCTCTGTCAAATTCTCTAAATCCAACATTCAAAATAAAATATGCCAGGAAAATGAAAAGCTAAGTCTCAAAACAATAACTATGCCAGACCCAGAAGCTACAAAAGCAACTTACCACGAAACCATATTGGTAAAAACACTGATTTTTCCCCTTACGTTTGTTGATTATGTACATATAGTCATGTTACCTCTCTGTCCGAAACCTAAAATGTAATTTTAGACCTGTCCACATTCTATATCTTATTTTAGGCACATCTCTTCCTGATTTTCCCTCAACTCAAAAACAGTTCTTAACCAAGAACAAATGAGTTATATGGATTAGAAATAAGCGATTTCCAGCCTCACTGACCACAGAGGTCTACTTCATGAGCCCTGGTGCTGAATCAAAGAACCAAAATTTTTTTTTCTTTCATTATCTATTGTCAATTCTCATGACACCATTCCTCCTTTGTTAACTGTTTTCATTCGGCAGGCACTTTGGACCTTTTTCCTTCAACAGAGACTATAAAGAAAATGCCTTTTGGTGGGCTGGACACACTCCACCCAGAACACTAATGCCACATCATGCATACCTTCTAATGATAACCTTTGTTACTTGAGAAACCAGGATCATATATCTGTATCCCACCAGCAAGCTGAGGCTACAGAATCTCAAAGAAAGCAACTAGCAAAAGATAATGCCACTGCTAGAAGTTTTGTGAAAGTTTCCATTCCGGTTCCTCCCATCTGCAATTTAGCAATTTGTGAGAAAGATGACAAATAGACAATTAATCAAAACAAAACATATGGCAAGGGTTATAAAGCCAAGCTTCATTATGGTGACACCTTACAGTAGCATAGGTTATGATTGTGATGGCAAAGGCATGACAGAGAATCAAAAAATGAGCTTATATGAATCATGTGTTTATGACACTAATGGCTTACTTTCCTCATCATCATCACAGTTCTTCCACGGATGAGGAGAAATCAGAGCTGTAAATCCATTTAGCCATTTGCTGCTCCTTCTCATTCATGATAAAATTGTCAAACTGTGAGATGGATGGAACTGCTTTCCAGAGGTACCTTCCACCTTGTATGTTATTTTTCCATTTTCTTTTCACAGGCCATCACGGCTGGTATCCTTCTACTGTTGCTTGCAAAGATGGACCCAGAGATACCTGGTAAATATACAGATGTCAAGTAAGACAGCAGAGTGGGCTTGAAGGTCAAATCCAAACTAGTTCAGGATGGAACACAGAAAATATATTCCAATTATAATGGAATCAAGTTTAATCAATGCCTTACTATGATGGATTGCAGGATAAACTATATTTTAAATGATAATTTTATCTGATTCTTGCTCTAAATATTTTCTACAAGTTCCTATGATTATTATTGTATTTGGGGAGGGCAAGTCAGCATTAGTGCTCCTGAATTTCATTTTGAAGAACGGTCTACAGGCTCCTATGCTTTTAATAACGTAATTTTAAGTCTCAAATCTCAATCAGATGTCTCCTTTCAATCTCACTGTTACCTCTCTCTCTAATAAAAGATAAAAGGTATATGATATCTTGCATTTCAACAATATAGAACCAGGTAATCCCGTGATGCAGAAAGACTATGTTATCTGCTTATAGATTTTATTTCCATGGCTAAGGCTGTGCTTCCAAACTTTAGTGTATGCGTGTATCAGCTGGAGATCTGGTTAAAGTGCTGATTCTGATTCAGTAGATCTAAGTGAGGCCTGAGATTCTACATTTCTGCAGGCTCCCAGGGCTGTCAGTGCTACTGCACCATAGACCACACCCTGAGTAACAAAGTCCTTGAGTGGAGAGTCTGTTTAACTCATCTTTGTTTTCCTTACCCAGACTGGTTCTCTACACATAATAAGAAATAAGTAAATAGTAAATGTTTGTTGAATTGATTTCATTTTTGCCCAGTTGGTATGTTTTTCTCCCTGGTGTATAT